CCGCGGCGGCGCTCGGGCGGGCGGACTACTTGACGTGTCGGTGCGGCGAATTTATTTCACTTTGCCTAAGGAACGGGGTGTGCTGCGGCCCCCATTGCCTAGGGAAAAAACCCGGATGTAAAGTGAGTGAAACTAAACTAGAGTGAAGTAGGGCAGCGGCAGCCAAACTCCGGTGCAGCGGCGGCGGCGGCCAAACTCCGGGGCCGCCGCAATGATGGGCCCCGCGCAGCGCTGCAGCTCGGCTCCCGTGCAGCCGAGGCGAGGCCGGGGCCCGCTGCGGCCCCCCCAACTCTGCGACCCTAGCCCAACTCCGCCCCCCCTCCCGCCGGCAGGAGCTGCCGAGGGGCTCCGGAGCGGCCCCAACTCCCTCCAGTGCAACAGCAGTTCTAAGGGAGGGAAAAGCCGCCAGGGCAGGAGCGAGGAGAGGCGATGGGGAAGCACTGCAATGGGGGAGCGTGGTCCAGGCAACAGGAGAAAGATGCAACCTCAAGTCGAATGCAACATGCAATCCCGGCCGCCGCTCACTCGCTCCCTGCCTGCCTCCCTCCCTCCCTCCCTCCGCTCGCCACCCCGCCCCCTTTCCAAATAACTACCCTGGAACCACTTTATTAGCCCTACTTAGTCCCTCACTCGCTTAGGGGAGGGTGGGGGGGACGGGGTCCTCTGCTCACCTTTATTTATTGCTGCTCCCCCCCCCCTCCATGTTTTTTATTCCTAAGTTCTTTTGTTCTAAGGGGGATGATGGCATTTACTTTTCTGCTTTGTGTAGCAGGGCAATCACTGAGAATCGGCCACGTATAATCCGGCGGTTTGTCATATTTTATTAGTGAAAGTATTTTATGCCTAGTCTACCTCCAAGGACTAACATGGAGAACTGCAGGGAGGAAAAAAAAAAGAATTCTTGTTTTGAGAGGTTTCTTGGCGGGGCGGGGGAGGGCCTCTTTTTTTTTTTTTTTTTTGGAGGGGGTTTATTTAAATTTTTTAATCGATAGTTTTTAACTTAAAGCTTGATATTTTTGCGTGGGTAGACTACTGGATTCTAAAATAAGCCCCAACCACAATTATGGAAGAAAGTCCAAAATCGTGATTTTAAAAAAAAATCCCTTCTGGTCTCTGATAACTGTTCTGTGCTGCCCGCTGGACTTAAACAGTATTGGCCTTCAAATGTTAAATAACAATAAACCCCAACCTCAACTGAATACAAATGGGGAGTGGGGGTGGTTTTGTTTTTAAGGCTCAGCACTTTTGTAGCATCTGCCACTACGCATTTTCCAGGCATTGATTAACCATGCAACTCCCATAGGCTTGAAGTCCAGTTTTTGCAGATAAAGAGCAACAGTGGAGAGAGGCTTGCCCAAAGTCAAAGTGAGTCATTGGCAGAACCAGAAATAGCCTAGGACTCTGTATTTGTTACTTGGCACAGCTTTTTCCATAACATAGTATTCCCTCCA